ATTGGTTACGATTGAATATGATTGGTTTGTGCGATAAATCCTGCCTCTTCATGCACGTTCGCGAATCAGTCTTAATGAAGATAATGATGGCGTTAATGGGAAGTTAAAAAGTAAGTAAACATCTCACCCACTTAGATATCACTGCTTTTGAAATGGCCTGAAAACATGACTGTGGGGATTTTTAGTGAGCAATACGCTTGGGGAAATTAAAAGTAGCCTACATTTCCGTGTCTGTGACAGTGTTTACCGAGCTTGATGCCTAATGAAAATAAGTTGACTAATAAAAAGAAGAGCTGAACATCAGTTCACAAATAAAATATATTGTTTAAAATGAGTAGCCTTTAGTTATTATTTTGGAATAAAAGTAAAAACACTAACTTGATGAGATTTATACTTGGTTTTAATAAATAGAACATTAATTACATAGTGTAAAAATACAAAATTTGGTAGTTGTGTAGTTTATTTAACCAGGAAAATGTGACAACATTAAGTGTAACAGGGACATGAATTTACATTTGATATATATAAAAAATGTTTAAAAAACTTTGCCTCCTCATTTTAAAACACCACCGCACACCGCTGTCAACAACATAAATTATAGCACGTTTTACCAGTATAAAATATGGCTGGTCGGTCAGGCTCTGGCCTTGATGTTCTAAAGACGAACAACCCAAAGACATGCACACTCTCGCACAAGCTTTTTGCCCTATCGTCCGCTGTTTGATGTACTGAGAGGGAAATTGTATTCCCTCACTGGGTTTGTTTGCTTTGTTCAATGTGTCTGTCATGGCAACAAATAATAAAAAGAACAGAAGAAACCATTTGGAGTGTTTCTCCTGCCGAGATCAATAAAAACATTTCATCCTGCAAAATTGCGCCAAGGCCCTTCTGGTTCCTCGAGAAAAAAATAGCAATAATACCAGTCCTCAGGCTTTTGGATGCGAAACCTTCCGACATCAAAGTGCCGTTGTAATGAAGAGGAGAACAAGTGCTCACCCCTGTTTATCACCAAGACAGAGCACATAAAAAAAAAAAACTGCATTTTGACCTTTATTGAAGAAAACGCGAGTCTGCTTGTTAGGCTTGCTACGGTAGTTCGTGTTACCGGTGTTACACGGTGTTCAGTCGCAACACCGGTTTCATCACTTGCCCACCGCGGCACCGCAAAAAAAAAAAAATATATATATATACATTTAACGCAATTACGCAGTATCCGTTTTTTTCTGTTACCCGTTGACTAGCGTTGTATGATCACGCTCTTATTAATGTGAATGCTTTTAAGACTAAAGAGACCGCGCTGTACGTCCTGCCTATTACACACACACACACACAAATAGAAAAGACACGTCAGTATTGAGTTCTCGATTGGGCTTGAACGAACCTTAACACACACAAATTATGCCAAAATGTCGGATTTGTCGAGTGTCCTCATAAGATCAGTCTTAAATGATTTAAATAAAGTCTTCAGTGGGTCTCATTCATGAAACACGAGCAGAACGAATTTTTGTGTAAATCGTGTGTAAAGTGGTTCTGGCGTAAATTTTCGGATTCATTAAAATGTTCGTATTTTCCAAATGTTAGTTGGTACACAAGAAATCTACACCTGCTCCCAGCCACGCGTAAATAGTGCGCTTAACACCCGAACGATTTGGTCATTAATAAGGCTGCATTTTAATTCACCTTAATCGGGTACATATTTGCACAGCATTTTGAAAAAATATTATATATAGTAATTACATACGGTTTTTTTTATTATGAGAGACAGTAATAGCATCTGCGATGGTGGTCCTTCTCCAGTTTGAATACTATTTTTCCGAAGTGAACTAATTCGTTTTTTGCTCTCAAGCTTAATGTCGAACCATTTTCTTCTCACTTCTGGGAATATTCGATTAACAGATGAAACTCCATTAACTGCATCTGTAATGCTGCCAAGCTTCCTTTCTTTTAGGACCCGATACGCCACTATGTACACTTGAAAATAAAATGTGGCGTTTTGAATGAACTTCTGATAATAAAACTTCAATTTCTGCATCTGAGAAATTTTTTTCTCAGTCAGTCGGATTTAATGGGCGGGATTTATGGTAATTGAGAATGAACGTGCACGCGCATCCCATTTACGACTGATTGGAATTCATTAACACACACACACATTTCACTATCACATCTGACGTTTACGAAGTATTTGTGAATCAGGAGAAGAGTTTTCGGGAAGGTCTCTTTACGCGCAAATCACTCGCATATTTACTCGTATATTTACGAATGTTTCATGAATGAGACCTAATGAACGTAGAGATTTGTGAGAAAATGGGACGAGTGTCAGATCGCGTCTCTGTCAGCAGCGGCTGGTCTTAAAGTGTCATTATGTTAATCAAAGAACGATAAGAGAGTAAATGACTCATTCAGACCCGGCGCCAGGAGGATTATTATACCGATAGCCTAATAATCATGAATGCACTCCGCTATCTTTAACACATCTCCGGCGAACGGCTTCTTCACGCAAAAGAAAAACTCTTCATGAAGCGCAGTGAAATTCAGCGACCATGGCGTTTCCGGATGGATCGAGGTTGTTCGCTAACTTCATTTTTTACGTGCAATTCACATGAGCTCAAAGCGCATGCGAGACTGCTGCGAGTAGTCAAACTTTTATTAATGAAACAGAAAATCAGAGGGAATCATTTCTTTAATGTATTTTTTTTTTTTTTTTTTTACTGGTTGGCCGGTCACACGGCTTTCATAGTTTTCAGTTACGTGACTGGTGCTGTTCTGCCCGTGCAAACGCGCGCATTTTACGTTTGCCTTTAAATTAGCTATTTAAATGGCCCTGCCGGTGATACCGGTATTACCGGTGTTGTCAAACGTCGATTAACCGGTGGGAAAATATCCTCACCGTCACATCCCTACTGCTTGTCCATCCAAAACTTCTAAGGTGGTTGCCAGGGCGTTGCCATGCAGTGCTCTAGGTGGTTGCTAGGAGGTTAGATTTTATCCCAAGTAAATGGGATCCTCATGACTCTGTGATATCATGGTCCCAACATAGGGCTCGTGTGTTTGGATGCTCATTTCTGGACGCCCTTAGAAGAGCACAGTTCTGAAAATTAAAGGGGAACTATTATGCCCCTTTCACAAGAAGTCACTGGTGTCCCCAGAATGTGTCTGTGAAGTTTCAGCTCAAAATACCCCACAGATCATTTATTATAGCTTGTCAAATTTGCCCCTATTTGGGTGTGAGCAGAAACACGCCTTTTTGTGCGTGTCCCTTTAAATGCAAATAAACTGATGCCTCTTTCCTGAAGTGGGCGGAGCCTTTAGCTTGAGCTTCAGATACTCTGGCAACAACAAAACTAGAGAATCTCGTGCAACTGGACGTTTCTGAATGGTTAGTGGATAAATGTGTGTAGTTGTTGTGGAGTTAAGTTGATTCAACTCATCAACTAGCATGTACCGTCATGTTAATCTAAAAAATCTTTCAGAAACTACTTTTATGCAAACCCAGTGTTGAACTGACCCTTGTTTGTGAAGCATTCCGGCGTAAAATGATTTGAGCAAACACTTTAATGACTGAAATTCAACCACAGTGTCCTCAGTGGCTCAGTGGCTCTTATGTTCGTTGGTACATCCAATAACAGAACATTTGTAAAAAAAAATTTGGGCGCAAACATTGTATAAATTCAGCTGCTATAGCAAGGAAAAAGAAATGGCTCGCTCAGGGCGGGATCTATGCTAAGGGACACACATCACCTCATAAAAGTGAATTTTGCATAATAGGTCCCCTTTAATCTTGTTTCTTGGAGGTTATAAACAATGCTTCTGAGACAACAACTTGAATTTGTTGAGGAGTGCTACAGAAAACCACAAAAGGTTGCTCTGTAAGAGACTAGTCCAAGAGAACATCTGCCTGTTGTTTGACTCAAAATCCATTAGAAAGAATTCCAACTGCCATTAAGTCAATTTTGGATGCGTTATGTGCTTTTTCAGTGGCTCCCCTGGTAAGAGAAACCTGGGAACATTTAAAAATGTGTATCAAAGCCTGGAAAAGTCATAGAAATGAATACAATTGTGAAAAAAGTGTGGGGAAAAAATATGTAAAAATGAAACTGTAAATAAACAAAAAAATAAATATTATTATTATATTCTCTACATTTCAATGCAAAAATAAAGCATAAAATGTTAAATAAATTATAAATACTTAAATTTTATATATTACATATTTTGATTTATTTTTTGGACTAATTATTGCTCTTATGTAGAGGAAAACAAGATCACAAGGGATAATGATTTCGAATTTGTAAGTGAATTATTCTTTTGAATCAGATCTTTTTTATGAATCTATCAAACTAGTTCACAAATCTGTCTGATTTATCCATTAGCGAATCATTTTGAATTTGAACTTAATTCTCATAATTGCTGGTCAAAAAGTGTCTTTGCATTGTATTTTAAAACCCAATCTAATGAAGGACCAACTTTTTACGACTTAGTGATTTAGTATGTATTAGTTCGATGTGATTTGTATGGAAACGTACCATTTTTAGAAAGAAAAAAAAAGTTAGCATGAAAGTCACCTAACATACAACTGTTACGAATTGCCATGAAAGTGTGTTGGTATTTTATGCTCCCGTTTAGATTTGCTCTTCTTTTCGACACTTGTAAGATTGTTATTTATATTTAATTAAACTAAGCACATTCATCCTACTCCAAACACACTTGAGTGTTTTAAATTAGAAAAAGAAAATGACGCTGGTTCAAAATATTCTGTTTCAACTCATCTAATTAGCTTGTCAAAAGTTTGACTGCTTTATTTTTAATTGGTACTTGGCATTTCTTAAATTAAAATCAAGACTCATCCACTCAAAACAGCGTTTCGACTGATTAATTCATGTTTCAACACAGACTGCGACTACATATCTGTACGTTGAACAAATCACACTCACTCAGCCACAAAATAACTCCTTGTTCTTCAGTGGCAAACCTCTATTGCTCATGCGTGTAAAGTACAGCATCACCTGTCAGCGATTCATGACCTCCACCTGCCCTTCCACGCATGACCACAGCGCCGAGACCAGACAGACAGTGGGAGAAATGAAAAACTGCATCATCCATCCATGAAAAAGCCTCAGGTACTGACGTGTCATATGCCTACAGTTCCCATGAGCCCCGGTGGTGTGTGTTCCTCTTCAGGAAGGGCTGGGTGCCTACAGGAGCTGCAGAAATATGAATTTTTATAAGCGAGGTCAGGCGGAGGGATGAAGGAATAGAATGAGGAGGGAAAAGACAGCATATAAGAGCTTGGGCTCATAAAGCATTGAAAAGACACATTCCTGCTCACTCTTGCATCATATATATTATTTTATAGCTCTGAATTTAGTTTGATACACACCACATGGGTAAAAACACTCCTTGTCCATGATAAAAATTACTGTAATGCATGACATCTCGCAGCTTATTGCTATATATATATACACACTCACCTAAAGGATTATTAGGAACACCATACTAATACTGTGTTTGACCCCCTTTCACCTTCAGAACTGCCTTAATTCTACGTGGCATTGATTCAACAAGGTGCTGAAAGCATTCTTTAGAAATGTTGGCCCATATTGATAGGATAGCATCTTGCACTTGATGGAGATTTGTGGGATGCACATCCAGGGCACGAAGCTCCCGTTCCACCACATCCCAAAGATGCTCTATTGGACTGAGATCTGGTGACTGTGGGGACCATTTTAGTACAGTGAACTCATTGTCATGTTCAAGAAACCAATTTGAAATGATTCGAGCTTTGTGACATGGTGCATTATCCTGCTGGAAGTAGCCATCAGAGGATGGGTACATGGTGGCCATAAAGGGAAGGACATGGTCAGAAACAATGCTCAGGTAGGCCGTGGCATTTAAACGATGCCCAATTGGCACTAAGGGGCCTAAAGTGTGCCAAGAAAACATCCCCCACACCATTACACCACCACCACTAGCCTGCACAGTGGTAACAAGGCATGATGGATCCATGTTCTCATTCTGTTTACGCCAAATTCTGACTCTACCATCTGAATGTTTAAACAGAAATCGAGACTCATCAGACCAGGCAACATTTTTCCAGTCTTCAACTGTCCAATTTTGGTGAGCTCTTGCAAATTGTAGCCTCTTTTTCCTATTTGTAGTGGAGATGACTGGTACCCGGTGGGGTCTTCTGCTGTTGTAGCCCATCCGCCTCAAGGTTGTGCGTGTTGTGGCTTCACAAATGCTTTGCTGCATACCTCGGTTGTAACGAGTGGTTATTTCAGTCAAAGTTGCTCTTCTATCAGCTTGAATCAGTCGGCCCATTCTCCTCTGACCTCTAGCAGGCATTTTCGCCCACAGGACTGCCGCATACTGGATGTTTTTCCCTTTTCACACCATTCTTTGTAAACCCTAGAAATGGTTGTGCGTGAAAATCCCAGTAACTGAGCAGATTGTGAAATACTCAGACCGGCCCGTCTGGCACCAACAACCATGCCACGCTCAAAATTGTCTAAATCACCTTTCTTTCCCATTCTGACATTCAGTTTGGAGTTCAGGAGATTGTCTTGACCAGGACCACACCCCTAAATGCATTGAAGCAACTGCCATGTGATTGGTTGATTAGATAATTGCATTAATGAGCAATTGAACAGGTGTTCCTAATAATCCTTTAGGTGAGTGTAGTTCATTATACAGTCAAACCCAAAATTATTCAGACACCAGATATAATTTTTTATCTTTTTTTACTACTGGAAGCAGGACACTATAGTTTAATTTATGTAAGTGAGGATAGGAAAATAAAGTAAACTGTGACATTTTATACCCAAATATTCTTCATACAGTGGAATAACAATACAATTTATAAAAATGTAGGGCCATAAATTATTCAGACACTTTGACCTGACCATGTTTCGTTAAAGTGTTTTTTTCTTTAATTGCTAATGCAACCTTTTTACACCACAGACTTGCTTGGCATTGCTTGGTAACTGGTCGACCTAAATTGGTATTATCTAATCATGTACTTAAATTTAACAGCTGACAGATATTCAACATAATTAATTTGTGAGACAGTCTAACAGAAGGATGGACAAAACCAGTGAAATATCAACTGATTTGATTAACCTTGAGTTCTTGTATATAGTTTCTAAACTATAGCGAATATACTGTGATAATGTGAGAAATGTTGAAGGTGCCTGAATAAATTTGGGTTTGACTGTATGTATTTAATGGACATACACTGAAATAATAATTTTCTTTTCTTTTCTTTTCGGTGTTACCATAAACATTATCTGATGTTAGAGTCCGAGTGAGCAGGAATGTGCCTACTTACCCAGAATTATTATTTTTTTAATTTGCAAAAATGCTTGTAAATCAATATTTTCAGTCTAAGTTTTAGTAATCAATTATCTCTGCAGGAGATGAGAGTTGAGAAGTGCATAGAAGAACTTTGCATGCAATGCCTGGCACACTTCCTTTTTTTTTTCTGGAAAAGCTGCCAGGCATTAAACT